ACCTAAAAATTTTTTTTTTTTTCCGATGATAATTATATATATATATATAATAATATTATATTTAAAATAAATAAATAAATATATACATTTAGACATTTTAAAATAATGAAATATTTTTAACTGTTAAATATTTATAAAACATAGATAGAACAAACTATTTTTATTTAACATAAAAAATATTTAATCCTTTTTTTTAAAAAAATTTATTGAAAAAAATTATGTTGACAAAAAGAACATTTTTTTTTTTTATATTATTTATCAATAAAAAAAAAAAATTTTGAAATACATAGAAATTGTATTAAAAACTAAATAAAAAAGATTTTTTTTATGTCATATACAATGAAATGTGTTATATTAATGTATTATATATATATATATATATATATATATATATATATATATATATATATATATATATATATATATATATTACAGTTTCTTTTTATATATATATTGGAATCACTTTTTTTAAAATATGATACCTTTTAGATCTTTAAAGTTTTCTCATATTTTCAAAAACGCTATCTAAAAAACGAATTCAATTTAATTATAAAAATTGATTTAATATATATTTTCATTTTCATCTTAAAGCAAAATTTAAAGAATAACTAATCTTGAAATTTATGCAGCTTTATATATATATATATATATCATATATAGAAAATTATTTACTATGGAAATGGCTGCCATTTGAAATAAGATTTTATATAAAGTTTTTTAATTATATTGTATCAACATATTAGTTCTCTTTTCAAAATGAGGTCAAGCTCAAAAAGGAGGAGAATTGTCTATTTTAAAGTGAATGATGAACATTTAAAAGAATATCATTAGTCTTTTTCAAAATGAACTTTTGATTAGCATTATTGTTACACCATTAAATGTTTAAAAAAATGTTTTTTTTTTTCTAAAAGGTCAAAATCATTTTTGTATATAAATAAATAATAAATGAAGATTGAAAAGAATTTTTTTTTTTGTGAGAAAGTTTAAAGGGTTTTTTTATCTTATGATTGGATTACCTCAATTTAAACCTTTTAATAGAATATAAAATTTTAAAAAAATTCTTTGTTCAATTATTTAATTTTAAAATTTGAATGATGTCAGACAAAAAAAACCCTTAAAAATGTTATTTTTAATATTTTTTTTTTTTTAGAATAACCAAATTCGTTTTTAACAGTAGGAAAATACATGGGTTTTCAAACAATTTTTTCTCCATCAAAATTTTAAATTCATTTTTTATGGAAAACATATATACATCATTAAAAGTGTGCTGGATCAATGGATGAGATAATTTTTAGTATGTCATCAAAATTGATGTCAACATTTATTTTTTCATTTTTTCTTTTATTTTAGGGTTTCTAAAAAAACATAATCTTTCATTATTTTTGATTAATTTTAATTTCAGAAATTAAAAAAATTTTGTACAACTTTAGTTTTAAAATTTAGTTTTCAAATTCACTATATATTATCTTATATAATTTTATCTAAATTTAAAATTTGTAAATATATTTCATTTTGCCAAGCCTTATTCATCCCTGTATAGCCTGATGTTTAAATTTAAATAATCTTTTGCATGGTGAGATTATTTAGATATAAATAGAACAACAATGTCAGAAGAAGAAAAAGAAGTCAAAAACAAAATTCAAAATCAAAATTCATATATTTTTAATCCATTGATTCCCAATTATCCCAGCAACAAATTTTTTTGAAAACTCCATTACAGATTAATTATTTTGTCATTATATTAATTTGTAAAAAAAATCGAACTGACATCCATAAAGCAGTTCTTCCTTGTTTAAAACAAATCATGGAACATAATTTTGAAATTCTCAGATGTTATTTGTGGTTTTGTCTTCTATACTTTCAAATTTTTATGGGTTTTAGGTGTACAACAAAAAATATGGCATCATCAATAGTCATTTATATGGTTTATGCATCAAAATGCTAGTCACTTTTACACTTCAATGTGACTAAAGAAAATGGCACATTACAAAATCATTTGGAAATTAAGGATTCTGTCTATCCAAATTTAATAAATAAACTTAATCATAAAAATGAATCATTTCAGACAAAGGCTCAAATTCACTTTATTTTGATGGAATCCATCCCTGCCCCAAATTAAAGATTATAATATCAAAATTCCTATTCCTAAAAAATTGACTAATAATGAAAATTTAAATTTAGGTCCCATTTTTAAAGAAATGAACATATATTTTATTTAACTTAGTCACCTGCCCATTTAATTTTTAAAAAAAAAAATTTTATATATTATATATATATATATATATATATATATATATATATATATATAAGAGAGAAAGAAGAAATATAATAAAGAACGATAAAGTAATTGGACATATTTAAATTTTAAGCTCAACATTCATGTTAATTCCAGTCAAAATATAATATGCATTTTTGAAATGTTTTTTTACCTTTTTCTTTTTAAAATTCAAAATGAATAAATCATTTTTCCTTCCAGGTAAACTATTTATTTTTCAACAGATTGGGTTTAATACCCTTGTGATGGAAATTGGTCTACTTCAGAAAGAAATGGCAACTATTGCAGGATAAATACTTTTCGTCTCTTTTTCATGTAAAAAAAAATCAAACAAATGAAAATTAGAACAAAATTTTTACATGTAACAACCCCAAAAAAAAAAACCTGATTGAAATTTTATATATATTTATATATATATATATATTATATATATATATATATATATATATATAAATATATATTAATATATATAATAGCAATATATCAATTTTAAATTTTATATTTATATCATATATATATATATATACATAAAATTATATATATATATATAATTTATTTTTCTATATATAAATATATATATATATTTTTTAAATTTATATCTTTTGCATATTTGTTTGATGTTTTTTTAATAAAATCAGGATCTGGTCTTATTTAGCTCAGAACCTTTAAATTTTATTTTATATTTATATATATATAAATTAATATATATATATATTTATATATATATGATTTTGTATACAGAATAAATAACAATGACCAAAAAAATACTATTCTTCACAAAAGTCCTCACCAAAGTAGAGCAAAACAAAAAATTTGAATTTTTGAAAACCCTTTACGGAACATTAAAACCATCCTTGATAAGAACACCAAAAATTTTTTGATTTCAAATGGCTATTTCCAGTGATTTTATAGAAACATATTCATGCTTTTAAATTTAGAATAAATAAAATATATATATATATATATATATATATATATATATATATATATATTATAAAGTGGGCTTGTACTGAAAACATGTCAAAATGTTATTTACAATTGGGACAATGTTGTGTTTCAATCCATCATTACATCTCATCAAACTGAATGTAAATTACTATATAGTATTGAATGATTTATTTAGATCAATGTTTTTAACTGAACAACCTTGTGGACAAAAAATACCTCTTTTTTATAAAAAAGAAAAAGGGCCTCTAACTCATCAGATATATGCAAAAATATGTGTGTGTTTATATATATATATATATATATATATATATATATATATATATATATATATAAATACACACATGGTAGAAAGGTATATTCAGAATATTTAAGTGGTAAATGACATCAAATTTTTGACGCATGACTGAATTTTTTTTAATAAGTAACACTTTTTCTTTTCTTTGTTAAAAACGAAAAGTTACCAAAAAATAAAAAAACAATTCAATTGTAACTCAGAATTGAAGTCAATGTTTTATAATCTGCAATGTTTTATGACCCACTATTATGAAAACTTTTACTTTAGTTTCTAATATGTTGAGAAATGATTAAATAAAAATTTAATTATATAATATGCATATATATTTCTTCCTAGCCAGTAATCTTAGACCGTTTCTTCTCTTAGTTTGACACATTTTTTTTTCTTGTTTTTTTGTCTTTCATATAAACATCTAAAATGGATCCCTTCAAAAAAAAAAAAAAAAAGTGTTCAGACGAACTACATTCCTTATTTCCATTAGTTAGACCTAAATATATTAATAGGAATCTACTCTAATAAGAATTTCCATTGCAAATATTTACCTAGATATATTCTTTAGTTAAACCAGTTCGGAAATTTATAAAATGAAGACATACCATTTTTAATTTCTAATTGTATCAAACTATCTTTATAAATATTTATTATTTAATTATTGAAATGTTTCCAAATTAAGCAGTTTCTTTTAAATAAATCTGCTTTAAAATTTGACTTTAAAAGTTTTCACTTCTATTATATAACAACAATCATTTAACCTGTTCAAGTGTAAGCTCAATCATTATCTTCCCCACATATCCACATAAACTGTGACTTTAACTCAGTAATTCTCTACCTCTAGTGGCTCTTGGGTCTTGAATAGGGTGGACATCAATGTAAAAAAAATTTTTTTGTGGACTTTTTTATATTGTTACAGTCATATAGTTGCTTTGCCTTGCATCAGGTACCTCCACAGATTGATGATACCCAAGGTTTAAAATGAATTTTTTAAAATGAAAAATCTTTCTTGAAACTTTTTAGTTTTAATTTCAAGCTAATAGATTCAATTTAATATTTCCAAAAAGCAAAATACTTTGCTGTATTTCAAAACTAATTTAATTTGATTGAAAGGAGTTTTTATTTCTCTTTGGTTAAGAACTGATTTCTGTGCTATTTTTAGCCCTCGTTTATCACAAATTAATTCTCTTCATTAAAAAATCTTTTTAAAATATACTTTTCTGAAACTTTATTTGAGGAATATTAGCCAATTTAAAATATAATTAATCCGATTGGAAACAAATATTATTTACTTTAAGTTTAAAATATTGCAGAAATGCATTTTCTTAACATGAAAGTAGCTGTTTATTTAAAACCATGAGTATAGAAAATGTGAGGGCAGATTTAATTAACCAATCATGTATGTCAAGATGTAATTTAAAATCATACTGAAAGGAAAGAAAAATAGATCAAAAGTTTTGATATTGTAAAAGAAAAATAGGATAAACTTACTTTCGAACTTTTTTAATCAAATCCCCAAATGGTTTCTCCCAACAATACATTTTCAGGACACGAATGCCGCTTATAATTTCATTCATCAAACGCATTCTTTCATCAGTGTGGATGGCTGTCTTACATCTGAAGGAAAACAGTAGAAAGTTGGAATGAGTATTGAATATTTACATTTTATTGTCTAAATTTGGGGGATAAATTATTCTTGTAATTCCAAACAGTTTAATCATCATTTTCTTGTTCTTCTACAACAATGATTCAGAGAAATGGAATATTCCATTTCTTGTGAATAAATTTCATATCATCTTTATACTCTGTGCCCATTCAGGACTGTGGCGAATGAAGAAAATAGTAACCAGCGAGTAAATTCAAGCTCTCCCAACTGGTATTTCAAACTTGAGTCGTTCCTTCTTGGGTTGTCTCCAAAACACACTAACTGCCCGTTCTTGCCGTCAACCGTGAACATCTCTCGAATAACTCCCCGACTTGGAAAAAAGTAGTTCTTTTTATAATTGTTCATATACCCATAATCCCTTGCGTCTTCACGTGATCCCATAATTCATTGTGTCCACGTCCCATAATGCATTGCATCGTTATTGCATAAAAATGCCAGTTGAATAGGATCCTTATTTCCAATTGTTTGCCAAGCCTGGTCTAACTGTTACTCAATCCACAACATTCCCAAGACTCCATCAGCTCAACTTTGTTGAAGTTAAATTTTGGAACACAGTTTGATTTCTTTAAGAAATTGTGGGATATTATATAGATTAAGGTTATGAAAGAGCTCTTTCATGTCAGTTATTTGGTTGGCTGATTTTGTTTATGTTATATTCCATGCTAATAGGAATATATACTTGACAAACACGGTGGATAAAATAAGTAAAGGTTTATTGTAAAAACCAGTACAATAAGAATAAAGGTAACAGTTATGCACAAGGTCATCACAAGTCAATCCAGTAGTGAGTGCTACTATTGGAAGGTCGGTAGTTCTTGCGTAAGTGAGTTGTACTTAACAGATCCCAGCTAGACTATATTTAGCTACCCCAACCATGAGGGTTGCATGTGGCACAAGGCCAGTTTAATATGGGTTCTCCGAGACCGTAAGCTCGGCCAAAAATATTCCCTTTTTGAACCTGCAACATTCCCAAGACTCTATCAGCTCAACTATGACAGTAGGATACTAATTTCAAAACTAGTACTAACTTTTAAACAGAAATGGAAGCATTTAATCTGAGCTAGAGTTCCTCAATTTTGGTCTATGGATCAGTAGAACTATGTCAAACGCAAGAGAAAATGTATGGGGAATCATCAAAAGGAGATTAAGAAAATACTGTTTAAATAAGTTCAGCAGATATGCAAAAATAGAAAGAGGTGTAAGACAAAGATGTGTCGTCTCACCAGACTTATTAAACCTATACAGCAAGTCAATTCTGAGAGAATTAAAAGTCCAACACCCTAAAATTCATTATTGGCAACCATAATCTTAACAACATAAAATATGCAGATAACACAGTGTTAATAGCAGATACGGAAAGAAAGCTACAAAATCTCCTACAGAAGATAGTGAAGGAAAGCGAGAAGAAAGGATTAAACATAAACTGCAAGACAGAATGCAAATCAGAGATACCAAAATCAAACAAGTGTGGAAAGTGTTTTAACAGATGGAAAAGTGTGACACTGAAATCCGAAGGTGAATTGGGATAGCCAAAGATGCATTCCAAAATTTAAGCAGAGTAATAAGAAACAGGAAGATTTCACTAAAAACAAGGAAAAGATTTCTAAACTGCGATGTGATATCTGTCCTCCTGTATGGAAGTGAGCGTCTCCTCAAAGACGAAGAAGCAACATAGATGTGGTTCTACTGAAGGATTCTGAGTTACCATGGATCAAATATGTGAGCAACGACACAGTTTTAGAGAAAATGGAAACAAAAAGGAAAATTATATTTAACATCAGGAGGAGACAGTTAAGGTTTCTGGATCATATGAGGAAGAAGGGCTCAGAAAATCAGATACTCACAAGGCAGATTGAAAGCAAGAGAAATGAAAACAACACATAACATACTTAGTGAGCTTGAGTAAATGGATGGCAGAATAGGGCTTAGGAGAAATAATAGAAAAACAAAAGTTTATTAAGTGCTACAAAAGACAAGAAGTTGTGGAGAGCCATAATCACTTATGTCCTTAGAGGAGATGGCACAAAAATAAGAAGATCTTTCAACTCTTGGAGAATTGAAGTGGGACATTACTGAAGTGTGGGCATTGGTGACACTAGTGGATTATTGTAGGTTAATCAGTTTTAATCATGATAAATGAAAGAAATAGTAAATGCAAAAATTACAACAACAATGCATCAATGTACTAATACAGTTCTTCAAAATTGTGTTCATTAGTAATTTGTTTGGAGAAAAAAAAGAGCAAATTTTGTCTTTTTGTTACCAGCTATAACAATCTTCAAAAAGTCTGATTTGTCAATGAAATAATGTGGAGTGAGTAGCCATGGTCAAATGCAAAATAAGTAACAGAACTGTTGACCAAACAAAACTGACAAAGTTTGCAATAACAAGAAAAAGAAAAGAACAGGGCAAAAATAATATAAAGCAAATAAACAACATATGCAAGGTAAATTAACAGTAATAAAGCAAACCAAAAGTAATATGGCAAAAGGTTTCCAAACTAAGAATTAGGGTTGACACACAAAAGCAAGTTTGGACAAGTGAACATAGTGTTCTGACTTTAAGACAAGACAGACTGGGACTGAGTTGGATGAAATCGATAACTGGCCTATTTTATTGGCTAGGAAAAAATCCCAGCATGCATTTGTGTGCTTCTGCCTATAAGCTGGGGAGGAACAAGTGTTTTGCAGTCATTTCTACAAGGATTGAAACCAACAAATACTATTAAATTACTTTTGTATATCAAATTGATTTAACTTTAAGAGTAAACTGGCCAGTTTTAAAGGAATTCAAGCAATAAACATGAAAGTTATTTGAAGAAACAAAGAAAAAGGAATATTCTGTTATTCTGAATCATTTTTGATTGGCTGAAAAATGTGGTATAATGGTTCAGAAAATACAGAAAGGCCAAAGAAATGAGTTAAAAACAACAAAGACAATGTGAGGATGAACTACAACCTGTTCAATTACATTGATGGTGATGAAAAAGGTTTGCCATACTCTTTGATTTGATTGGCTGAGCATTAGCCAATCACATCTTTTTGGACACTGTTCAAGCACATAAAAATCCCAAAACCTTTTCCAGTTATGGGTTGGGTGGTTGCTTGGTTAGTAGCATATCAACACCTCTATGGGTTATTTAATACCTAAATTTAAATATTTTGAACTATTTTATTGCTTCAACTAAATATTTTTTATCACAATTATATTAACTACAGATAAAATGTATAGGCGATACTTTTACTATACATATTGTTAATATTTTTTATATAAAAATGAATTACTGGTATTTTTCTATAAAAATGTATTTTATACTTTCATAATATTTGATCCCTATTTGGGGGTTTGTTATTTGCCTATAGCTGGAATCCTAACAGGTGCTACCACACCAGGTCAGGATAGAGGGAACAGCAGCAATTAAGAGGTGGTTGCACACTTCTCAAAAGCTCCAATCTCCCAAACAGATGTCTTCTGTTCAATGTAGTTTATCAACATACTCAGGACAACCAATTGTGAGTACAACAATTTCAATAAAGCTAGGAATGACCATTACAAATTGTCATAATTTTACTAGAATTTTTGTTTCGACAACAGCATATAATTTTTTTTTTTAATTTCAAAATTGGTGTTGGCAAGATGTTGGTAGCTTGTGCCTTCACCCCTGAAGATTTATCAAGGTTTAAAAAGTGTATGGAATCATGAAAACACATCATTTCCAGGGCAACAAGTGTAAATAGAAAAGAAAAGTTAGAATCAAACTTGTTATACACAATGTGCAGCAGAAATATTATGACTGAGTAGTGAGTTCAATCCTAACTGGGTACCCTATACTTTTGGCCTTGTGCCACATTGAAGTTGTGCTTAGAAAATCCTTTGGGCACTTTAACATGGTTTAATTGTTAGCAAGCTTTTCTCTCTAGAACAATTACGACTGAATAGTGAGTTTGATCCTAACTGGGTACCCTATACTTTAGGCTTTGTGCCACATTGAAGTTGTGCTTAGATAATTCTTTGGGTACTTCAACGTGGTGTAATTGTTAGCAAGCTTTTCTCTCTAGAACAATTACGACTGAGTAGTGAGTTTGATCCTCACTGGGTACCCTATACTTTAGGTCTTGTGCCACATTGAAAGTTGTGCTTAGAAAATCACCATAATAAGACATTGGGACACCTCTGCACCTTGTATGATTTCTGTTTGAATTTCTGGGATAAGGAGTTATTATTTAGACTTGGACTATTGTCCTCATCTTTGTTGCTGTTATCATGTTATTGGCTGTTGTGACTTTCAGACTTCTTCAGGTGACTGTCAATTTGGATAACCTTCATGGAATTTCAAACAGAACCCTTTATTTAATCTATGGGGGTAGACTTCACATGCTGCTGTACATGTCTAGGGATATCTTGTCTTGTTTAATTTTAATACTGCTCAGTTATTATTTCTACTCAGCCCAAGGATTGAACTCACTGTTACTATATACCACAGTATTCACAAACTAATACTTTAATCCTCTATACTATTCTCCTGTGGGACAATCCTGAAGCTAGATATTGAAACCTTAAAACTAATATTATTATTACCTTCTTGCTGTTGTTGTCTTGCTGTCACACTTAACTACCTTTGCCAACACTTCTTTATTACTGCTGTTGGAGCCTAAGCTTTTCATCATAATTCTCTATTAATGGCTCATATAGGGTATTTATATCTATGCTAGGCCTATAGAAGAAGACATCATAACCTAGCATATGTGCTTATTCATTGACATCTCTGCCTCTACAGTGTTGTTCTCTGGTTAGTATTTTTACTTCATTCCATAGGGAGTTTTTCTCTCCATCCATCAAGCATAGAAAACTATTCCTGTTTCCCCTCCCAAGGCCAATGTACAGAGGATGCTGATGATATAGGCATACATTGTTGGGATAAGAATGATCTTGAACAAAATATCATCATTCTCTACTACCAAGTATTACAAGAAATAGGACTCAAGATAAACCTTTCCAAAAGAGAAACAATGTGATCTAGAATTGAAATGAAAACAATGATGGCACATACACTGAATCCGTCATAAAAATTCAGGATGTGGAATTAGTAAATACTTCAAATACCTCAGTGTATGGATTGATTACAACAAATTTAGTATAGGAGAGGGGGGAATAGGCTGTGCTTGGGGTAGTTTTGCCCAACCCTGCAAAATGCTGCAAAATCAAAACATTACCCTAAAATCTCAAGTCAAGTTTTTAAATAGCCTTGTCAAGTTGAAACTTTTACAAAGATACCATGCATGGCACCGAATTTGTTTTGAAATATCTAAATTGTTGGCTGTATACAACTGCTTTCCGAGATCTAGGGTTAAAAATAACTTTGAGCAGATGACTGTAGCTCTAAGCAAAGGCCATCCCTCTTCAAACCTTGTGAACTGGTGCCATAGAATCACAAAGAACTGTACCAAATAACAGAAACTATATCACTTGAGGACTACCAACAACAGCAACAACTAAAATGGAGAGCCCATCTAACTTGAAGAGAAAATAATGACATAATGAAAATGCTGCTATTCCCCACAACCTCAAACAAATGACAAGGAAGGAAACTTTCATCAATACTGGAAAGAGCAATAACAGCTACTGGATTTAAGAAACCTATTTTCCTGAAGAATTGTTTTAAGAAAAAGATTTGATCTAGTTCTTGATTTTCTTTTTTGACAGAGAACACAAACTATTTTTCAAGACTGTTTTCTCTTTCATTGCCACCATTTCATTTAATAAAGAAAAATTAAAACTAATATCTTTTAACAGAGTTTGAACTGATCCACTGTTCTAAGTTTATCATAGCAATACGCACTTTTAAGTGAGTTTGTATTTTGTTTGCTCAGACGAAATATCAAGTTACATTGAAAAAGAAGAAAAAATAGGTATCGTCTAAGTCAGTAATTGCAAAAGTTTTGTGCACATTTTTCCACTTCACTACACACTGTTTATGAACAAGAGATAGAAAAAGAGAAAGATGATGCAAAATATTTTGATTTGATTGTTTAATGGCATATCAACACCTTTATGGATCATTTAATGCTGAAATTTAATTTTTTTTTTGAGCTTTGAAATAATAAAAATATGATATATGTTATTCTGCTTTCACAATTGAATACATGGTAGATGATACTCAGCTTTTGTGCATGTACATGTTTGAAGGGACATGATTACCAGAGACAGTGATATTTATTTTATGTTGTAGTTTTGTTGAAGTTATATTTTGGAACACAGTTTGATTTCTTTAAGAATTTGTGGGATATTATATGGATTAAGGTTATGAAAGAGTTCTTTCATGTCAGTTATTTGGTTGGCTGATTTTGTTTATGTTATATTCCATGCTAATAGGAATATATACTTGAAAAACACAGTGGATAAAATAAGTAAAGGTTTATTGTAAAAACCAGTACAATAAGAATAAAGGTAACAGTTATGCACAAGGTCTTTGCAAGTCAATCCAGTAGTGAGTGCTACTATAGGAAGGTTGGTAGTTCTCGAGTAAGTGAGTTGTACTCAACAGATCCCAGCTAGACTATATTTAGCTACCCCAACCATGAGGGTTGCATGTGGCACAAGGCCAGTTTAACATGGGTTCTCTGAGACCGTAGGCTCGGCCAAAAATATTCCCTTTTTGAACCCGCATAAACGGGTTCAGGAGGAGCCTACCTTCCCAAAGGAGACTGCCCTTCAGCGGAGCCTCGTCTGGGTTCCTCTCTGCCCGAAAGCAAAGAGTTACCACTACTTATAGGCAGTTACTACCTATAGCGTAGTTACTCATGGGGGTGACAGGTTATTCCATTACATTAGTTTAGCAGCATATCAACCTTTCTGAGTTATTTAATGCAGAAATCTGAATATTTTAAACGCAATTGTATGCCTTCAACTACAGATAAAATGTATTGTTGGTCATTTTGCTATGAAATATATTGTTGATAATTCTACTATAAAAAGGTATTGTTGATAATTCTACTATAAAAAGGTATTGTTGATAATTCTATAAAAATGTTTGTTGGTCATTTTACTATAAAAATGTATTGCTGGTATTTTTATACTTTCATAGCATTTTGTTTTTGTTTAGGGGTTAACTATTTGGCCATAGTTGGGACCCTAACAAGTGCTACCACATGGACCTGGGAACAACAGCAACTAAGAGGTGTTTCATCACTCTTTGAAACTTCCAGTCTTCCAATCAGAGGCCTTGCTGTAGTTTATTGTCATACCCAGGCCCTAGAAACATTTTGAAGCTGGAATTCCTTACCTTAATTTAGAAACGAGTTTTCCCATCCACACTTGGAGTGGAACAATAAAAATCAGAACGACAAAGCCTACAAGACAAGCAGGACCAAGCATGTACCAAAGAATTCCAATAATCACAAGAGTTTGGGGAGGTCCAATGACGAAGTAATGTACATAGAGTGCAGCCTACAAAAAAGAAAAATAGATTCTATTATTAATTACTTTGCAATATCTTGCATAAAAATGAACACAACAAAATTTTGAATAGAAACTTGAAAAATATGGGAATCATGAAGGAAACAATTTTCACTTCCAACATTTATTTAATTTAACTCTTTTTGTAGAATAATAAGAAAATGAAAATGTATAAACAGGTATTGAAAATTTCTCAGACCAACCAACTGCTCAAATTTTTAGTCACTGAAATACTGGTTTTGGGAAATGAGTTAGCTGAAAATTTTTCACAGTCCACTTGTCTATAAAACTGAAGTGCCAAAAAATTAGAAACAAGTACCAACTTAACCTGAATAATGATGGTCACATGCTGTTAGCTGATATCTTTTTAAGGAGACATCCACAGGATATTACAGAAAACAAAGAAGGTCAGCTGAGTGAAGCAGATTTCACAAGAACCAAGTCAAACAATCATGACAAAGAATGTCAGCTAAGTGGAGTAGACTTGATGAATGCTCTTTTTTTAGATGAAAGTAGACAGCACAAAGAATATTTGTTCATTATAAGACAGTGATCCCTAGCAGCCAGCAAGAGAGAACTGTTTGCCAGTGATGCGGAAAGGAAAGCACATGTTGGTTAGGCTGTTTGCTCCCTCACTCATCTACAGGCACCCTTACATAAAGTTGCAACAGAATGAAAATCAGCCTCTTACATCTATATATTATAAGAAGCATACAGGGACAATCTTTCTTTACTATCATATATATATATATATATATATATATAGGAGGCACAGTGGAGTAATGGATAGCGGCTTGGATTGAGGAATGTGAGAGCCAGATTAATTCAGTTGAATCCATTACATTCACTTACGAAACTAATACCCTTGGGAAAGGTATGAATCCTCTTCCTCTCCCTCCAGCTATTGGTAAAATAGCAGGACAGACTGGGTTCTATAGCCTTGGATGGCAACTGGTCTTGGAGAAAGACAACTCTGAATTCAAAACCTGGAGGGTTGTTTGGGAACCTTGTGGCAAAAACAGTGCACCAGGTCTCTGTATTTGTCCCTTCAAAAAGTGAAAAAAAAAGAAAGAGGCCTTCACCACTATAATCAAATCTCATGTACAGGTAGTTTCAAGTTGATTTCCTGGAAACTGATCTGCTTGACCCTCAACGTGAATCTGCTTTAAGTGGACTATATATATATATATATATATATATATATATATATATATATATATACATATATCTTTGACAGTGAACGTCTCTATTGTAAAGTTCAAATAACCACTCTGGTGACAGCTCATGTGAGCCAAAAAGCTTAGATCGATGAACAACATAAGAAATATCCAAATCCTGGATATGTTTTCCTGAAACTAAAGCCATTAACAGCTCATGATAAAACATAATAGACATTTGTTGTCTGTTATATTTAACAATATATGTCTGAATATATATATATATATATATATATATATATATATATATATATCATATAATATAATTAAGTTATGCTATAAGTTATGAGTAAAAGCCTGAAGATTGCATTCAAGCATAAAAAACTATCACCACTTGCTACTGACTGCGTTTTTATATATATATATATATATATATATATATATACATGACCACAGATCGAATGGAACATCATCAATAACTGACAAACTCCTAACAGCTTCAGAAACAGATGCAATTTATGTCTGGAAGAAAAAAATTAAAATAATTAAGTACAAAAATACAAGCCCGTTATTGAACCAGAGAAATGAAATCATACTTAAATGTCGCCATAAAAATAAACATATATTTTGCATCAAACACTGCATAATATATGTTTAGGTTTGTAACTAATATATAAATGAACATTGACGATTGTGCCTAGCATGAAACAGCCTGTTGCCTCCGAGTGTTGACTTCAATGTTCACTTTTATATTTACACATGCTCTATTTCTGATATTAATCACTTTACCCCATAAATATAGCACACCTTAAAACTATATTTCTTTATATATATATATATATATGTGCATATATATATGTGTGTGCGTGTGTGGGTGCATGCTATGCATACATGTTTTTTTTATAGATATATTTAATCATGTCATGGATATGCTTACATTATAGGTTATTTTTATTACAATTATTATTTATTTTTTCACCTTTTTTAATATTTTTAAATGTTATATTTATATTTTTTATTATTATGATGATGATGATGATAAAAACGATGATGTTTAAATGAATAATAAAAGATTCATTTCCGTGAATTTTATTACTGGTTTTGTGGTGAAAGGTTTACCTATAAAATCTTCCCCTCCCTTCCCTCACTCCTATATACAAACTTCTTTTTTCTTCCCACACTTCTCTTTCTTCAATTAGTGTAATCACCCCCACCACCACCAATTTTTTTAAGGTCATCGCTACTTCATTTTTTATTTTATTTTTTTTAGAATGTTTGGTTTTTATACACAGATGACGGGATAATATTCCTTTGTACACTGAGACCAAGACAAGCAGACCAGGTGATCACTGTCACTGGATCTAACTAACGCCTTTATCCACTGTGCCATGTCTCCTCAAAGAGTGTGAGTTCAATACCCGGTTAAGGCAGTGGAGAACTTTCAGAGGGAAATTAACAGGAGATAACTGATATCCATTAAACATGACACGTGGAACTAGAACAGTCTACCCCAGTGAGCGAAATAAGGGGTTCAGTTCAACATTCCAACCACTGGAAGAAGGCCGGAGCATACAATGGCCAAAACGTTGTAATACATATGGCGACAAAGATGAGGACAATAGTCCAAATAATGTAAATAATGTAAATTCTTTAAGGACCATAAACTAAACATTACCACCAAATACCAACACTAAAGTGGTCAATTTCCTAGACATTCTATTTGACCTGAGTAAGAGCATGTATAAACCATACACTAAAGATTCATATAACCATGTGTACATCGACAGAAAACCAAACCAACATAAAACGATATTTGACAATTTGCACTTATTGGTACAATACAGTTTATTGACTAACTCCAGTAACAAAGAAATATTCAACGATAATAAAGCTATATATATACATACATATATATATATATATATACACACATATATGTAAATATATATATTCATGCACATTTCATTAAATAATAGAGACAAGTGTTCTCTATTTATTTTATGTAAATTTTTTCTTAACGTAATTTACATAAAATAAAACTTGTCTATATAATTTAATGAAACGTGCATGAATGAAAAGATGCTGCCTAAATACACACATAAATATATATATATATATATATATATATATAAATATATATATATAAATATATAAAATATATATATATAAATATATAAAAATATAAATATATATAAATATATATAAATATATAAATATATATATATATATATATATAAATATATATATATATATATATATATATTTTTCAGACATAAAATAGCAAGGGTCTGCTTATAAATGAGTATGTGTGTGATAAAGAGAGAGACATAATGGAGAAAGTTGTTAGGGAGTCATTTCATTTCAAGAATGAACTTCTTCCCTGAATTTTGATATATAACACCGATTCCATCAATAGAATTGTTATTAATCTGAAGAACTTCCTTCTTGGAATGAATTATGTCTCTAACAACCTCCTCTTCTTAGCTAGACGAAGTTCCTCTTGATAAATATTTCTTTACACTATTTACATTGTTCAGACTGTTGTCCTCATCTTTGTTGCCATATTCATGATGTTTTGGCCATTGTACACTCCAACCGTCATCAGGTGATTAGAATTTCAAACTGAACCTTTCATTTTGTCCTCCGGGGTAGATTGTTTCTAGTTCCATGTCTCATCCCTCTTGTAGATGTCTCAATATCAGTTATTTCCTTTTAACTCAACTTAGCAAATTTTTTGTTCACCTCAGCTGTAGCCAGGTATTGAACTCACAACTCTTTTTGGTCAAGTCTCTGGATTCAACCAGTGCTTTTATCCACTGTGCCAATCTACTCTGGTGGTTGAAATAAAGGGTTCAGTTCAAAATTCCAATCATCTGAAATAGGCTGGAGTGTATAATGGCTGAAACATCATAAATATGGCAGCAAAGATGAGGACAACAGTTTGAACAATGTAAATAGTCTAAATAGTTACAATACCTCATCTTAGAAATATCGATAGATAAATATTTCTATATCAAATGATAGCTGACCAGTATCATTTTCAGGGGTCTCAAATTAGGTGGCCCAAGGTCCACATGAAACTCAAGGACAATCTTTCTACAGCCTGAAGGGGATCATTTTTGTAACCAATATTTTCTTCAGAATTTAAATAAGTTTAACAACTTTGTCCCTCTCTTTTGCAGTGGTACTATTGAGGAAGACCTACCCACCAAGTGTTAACAGACAATGAATCAATTTTAACACCAGTCAGGTCTGCTCTTGTCCCTCTTCGTTCAATTTTGATGCTGAAGGACATGTCCTGCATTAATTGATGCAGGGCTTGCTTTTGCTTTTCATTTTGATAATCGAGGATTGTTTTTTTTCCTTTTAAATTATGTGTAAATTTTTCTTTTTTAAAAAGATATACTTAATAAAAATGACTGGTTAGAATAGATGTAAAATTTTACTTACTGCCTGTCTCTCTTTCACAATTCCTATCGCTCAAAAATACCAGATTGATTTAATTGACATTTGTGGGTCTGTGAAAACCTATGGTTACGAACACAGACAGGTGCTGCATCACACTAGTTTGGAAGTAATTACCTTCCCCATTAGTAATACCCTGGAGATGGGCTTTTTTTTTTATCTGTTCCATCACTCACTCAGCATGTAATGGCTCATTTAGGTGCTTATGTTTGAGTCTATTTACAGGTGTGACATCCATTTGGAAGAAAAGAAAGGAGTCAAATTGAAAAACCGAGAGCCAACCAACTTACCTGGTCAAACCTGTTAACATCGTTAGACATCAGGTTGACAATTTGTCCACAAGTTGTTTTCTTCAAAGCCACATGACTTAGCTTCAGTACCTTCAAAATACAAACAGAAGAAATTTAAAGAAAAATGAGACTTGTGATTATAATGGTAAAATAATGGCCTCTATTTTTGTGGAAACTACAATAGACATGATTATGAATCTCACAACCCCTTAGGGTCATAGGGCACTGCATCTACTGCAAGCACAGCAGCAGGGGTGTATCTTGGGCAAGACAGCCTGATGTAGCCCAGCCCCTCTAGGCTGGTTTCAATTCAGTTTTCTTACTCCTAGACTGGTTGCCAACCAAGGCTATAGGGACCAATCTGTCCTGCAATTTATCTAAAGCTTGGAGGAATAGATGGATTCATAACTTTCCCACAAGTATAACATATAAGTGAATATAATGAACCACCATGCTAACAGATACGGTGCCAAGGGAGGTGGGGGTGTCACAAGAACACTTGAGGATGGAGCAAGTTCTCAGCTAGAGAACAACTATTTTTCCACAGTTATTACATTTGGTTACATATTTTAGCCAACAATGAACAAATACCTGCATGTCACACTAAACAATTCAGAAGAGGTGAAGCACTACTGTGAAGATGCATTACTTACAGACTGTATTCACATCTAATATCTGGTTTTCAATGAAAAACCAGCAAGCATTCATACATGGAAATGGGTGAAATGTTTTTTTTTTTTTTTTGGCGTAGAATTCAGAAATAAATCCTCACTTTGAATACCCTTTCATGTAATAAAGCAAAAAGAAAAAAGACTTATTGGTGGGGAGGTTCAACCTTTGTTTCTGTACCGCCAACCTCTACCTAACATTATGAGGTCATCTTCTATGTGCCATGTCCCTTATGGATGTTAGCAATCAAGGCTTCTGTAGCTTTTAATAAATCTTACTGTTGTGATGATATAACCCAACTTCCCCATTCACAATAACGGACAGACTGGTTGCCGATTAAGTACGACCACAGCGGACAGTGAAAGAGGTCTTCGTTTGTTAACACCTATTGAGGTTAGCATACTCCCGACTCTGTCTCTGTATTTTGACATACCTACATCCGATTATAAAATCATTATTGAAAACCAACACTCGGGTTTACTTTGTTTATTATATCTTGCACGAGATATAACAGCTGGCGGCGAGGATTGTGCAACGTACTTACTTGAAAAATATATATATATATATATATATATATATATATCAGATTACGCTGAACGGATTTCGGAAGCAGATTCTTAAGTCAAAGATATCAGTTGACGCCGATTAGGATTTCGAAAGCGGAGTCACAAGTCAAAAGAAAATTTTTACTGTTAAATTGTGATTTGAAAAATATATATTGAACCGCGACTCAAATGCAAGCCGGTCTAATAATTGATTATTCAAGTAAAAAATTACAGGTTGTAAAAATATTACGGCTGTAAATTGTCTGTTAACCGTCTAAAAAAAAAAAAAAAAAAAAAAAAAAAATTTTTTTTTTTTTTTGCCAAATTCTAAATAAAGTCAGGATGGAGCAATTAGTCGAAATGACTAAAATGCTGTGTACAAGCTTGCAACAACAACAGCATCAAGAGTTACAACAACAGCAACAAAAACAGCACCAAGACTTAAAACAACAAATATTGCAACAGCAAAAAAGTCTCGAAAAAATTCTGAAACAGGCGACTGGAGAAAGAAAAAATACTGTTTTTTCTGCCGAAGGAATAGCAAATTCATTATCCGAATTTATTTATGATCCTGATTCGGGCATTACATTTCCAGCATAAACGTTTCAAAACTATATTTGCCAAGAGATGTCAACATTGGTCGGATGAGGAACGAGTAACATTATTAGTCCAGAAACTAGGGACAAACGAGAATACGAAGTACTCAAACTTGATATTGCCCAGAAAGCCAGAAGAAGTTTCGTTTGAAGAAACTATAAGTATTCTGTCAAAATATTTGACAAAAAGGAATAGTCTGTTCCACACGCGATACAGATGCCTAAACATCGTTAAAGCAGATAGCGAGGATTTTGTGACATACGCTGGGAACAGTGAACTCTCTGGTTGAACAATTCAAGTTAGAAGAAATAACCAAAAGATGTATTCAAGTGCCTAATTTTTCTTCAAGGACTAACTGATCCTAAATATAAAGAAATTAGGTCGAGAATATTAATAATGGTCGAGCAAGACTCGAAAGTAACATTACAAAGGGTGACCGAAGAATGCCAACGTCTCATAAACGTAAAAAGGGATAATACACAAATTGAGGGAAAAAAAGTGTTGCTAATGTTCGACACGTAAAAACTCAAAAACTCAAAAGCCAAAAAGATAGAAAAATGTGAGACGTGTGGAAAAATAACCATATCAAAGACACGTGTTGGTACAAAATAAATTCTGCCAATCGTGCGGAAATTAAAAATCATACCAAAGACGTGTGTTGGTACAAAAAATAAATTCTGTCAATCGTGCGGAAATAAAGGGCATAAATATTCGGTTTGCCGCAAGAAAAGGAAATTACAAGATGTAAGCCTGGTATTATCAGAAAAAGAAATTCAGAACGGTAAAAATAGAAAGTACGTAGATGTACGTATAAATAATCATACAATTACTTTCCTATTGGATTCTGGTTCAGACATAAGCATGTTTGAACTCCCGATTAACTCATTTTGCAACATAATAAACAGTGCAGAAAAACAAAAAAGTATTAAAAATGAAAAATTCATGAATGAATTAAAAGAATATCCCAGAGTTTTTTCTGAGGGATTGGGTTTATGTACTAAGACGGAAGTCAAATTTGAACTCAAGGAAAATGTGAAACCAATTTTTAAACCCAAGAGAAACGTTCCTTTTTCCTCCTTAGAGACAATTAATAAGGAATTGGAAAGGCTTGAAAAAATGGGAGTGATATCTAATGTTGACCATGCGGATTGGGCCTCGCCCACAGTTTATGTTAAGAAAGAACTATTCAGAAGTTCTTAGCAATCTATAGGGTAACTCCTAATGAAACAACGATGCGAAAATGTCACCGGCGGAAATTATGTTCGCAAGGAAAATTAGATCAATTTTCGATAGATTGTTACCCTATCAAAACAAAAAAGTTGCTAAGAAAGAGGAAAAAGTCAACATAAAAAAATACACTTCAGGAGACAAAGTTTTTTTTTTTTTTTTTTAATTTTAAAAGTGGAAAAAGCTATTGGACGGATGGCATAATCCAGAAAACTATTGGTAAAGTGGTCTACACGATTAAAAGTAAAAACATTACGTGTAAAAGACACATCAATCAGATTAGACCACGATATGGTGAAGAAAGTGAAAAAAGCGAATAAGAAATTCCGATGGAAGTGTTATGCGATGCTTTTAACATGACACTACCCAATAGTGTATTTGAACCTGTATCGCATGGGCCAGCCTTACGGGCTGAAAAGCGGAAATTATCTTCGCCAAAAAAGGATCTAATTGTGACGACTAAAAGGAGGAGCACACGGGAAAGAAAACCAGTGGAGCGTTTTAGTCCGGATCCAAAAAGAAGACGACATTAGAAGCAGAAATTTTCAAAAGGGAGAATTTCAGCTTCGAGGGGGTGGTGTTGTGATGATATAACCCAACTTCCCCATTCACGATAATGGACGGACTGGTTGCCGATTAAGTACTACCACAGCGAACAGTCGAGAAAAGGTCTTCGTTTGTAACACCTATTGAGGTTAGCATACTTCCGACTCTGTCTCTGTATTTTGACATACCTACATCCGATTATAAAATTATTATTGAAAACCAACACTCGGGTTTACTTTGTTTATTATATCTTGCACGAGATATAACACTTACCTTTTTGTTATCTTTCTTAAACCTTATCCACCATCCATTTACTTAAGCTCACTAAGTAGGTTACATATTGCTTTCCTCTGTCCCTCTTGCTTTAACCTGTCTCATGAGTATTAAATTTTCCAAGCTCTCTTTCCTTATGTACCCTAGGAATTTCAATTGTCTCTTCCTGAAGTTAACTGTAAGTATTCTTTTTGTTTCCTTTTTCTCTAAAACTTCACTGTTGCTCACATATTCACAGTCCATGGTATTCCTGGCTTTCTTCTGTAGAACCACATTTCTGTTGCCTAGTCTCATCTTCAGCTGTGATAAGATTGTCCAACATTGACTAACATATAGGAGAACTGATATTACATTTAGTACTCTTTTTGTTTATAACAAAATGTTCCTGTTTCTTAATACTTTACATAGCTTTTGGAAGACCTTTCACTATCCTATTGTGCCTTTGAATTTCAGTGTCAAATTTCCAATCCTCTGTTAAAACACTTCCTAGATCTTTAAATTTTTGTACTTGCTCGATTTTGGTGCCTCCAATTTGAAGTTCACACCTTGGGCTGTTCCTTTTGCTGACAGCAATACATTTCATTTTCTTACTATTGATGCTTAGTCCTTTCTTCTTGCTTTCCTTTACTATTTTCTCTAGGAGTTCCAATAGTTTTCTTTATGCCTGTTATCAACAATGTTGTTATCTGTACATCTTATGTCAAGATTATAGTTTCCAATTGTAATTGATAGCCATAATGAGCCCAGTTCAGCACAGGTCAAAATCCTCTCTCGACTCATCTGAGCAGCTTACCTTTTATTAAGGTTTTTGACCATACATGGAAATTAGGTGCAATTTTAAAAGCACTAGAACCACACATGCACTTTACCTAAATTGCAAATGGTGGCTCCAACCAGGCAAGAGAAACATTGTAGCCACTTAGCCATGGGTAGGTTAAAATTCCTTGGTCCTGTTTCACCACACCAATAATAAAATTCCTTGTGGGATGTCTAGTTCTCTCAGGATCACCTTGACATAAAAAAATCAATATGTCTAGCCAGAAGGTACATCCTTGTGTACCATTTCTGTTTTTATGTATTTACTGAATTCATTTTATACACGTATGCAGGCGATTTGCTCCCAGTATAAATTCTGGATTATTCTAATAGCTTTAGCAAATAAATCAAGCTTACCTAGCAGTTCAAATAGTTCTTCAAGTTGTACCTTATCGAGTGCTTATTTTATTTTGATTTAATCCATTACTTCTTTTAAATTAATATTCTGATATCATTAATGTCATAAGTTTCTAATATTAGCCACAAAATTATTTATTTTTGTAATTAATACAAAATATGTAGCTCAAGGCTAAAAGTAAATGCATTTATTTGTGAAAGACTCCCCATATTGCAACATCTGTCAGAGATGAAACTTAAATTTTTATTATTGCATTACTAAAATATTTTAACACATCAGCAGATAGCTATTAATGTCAACAATTGAGTACAAATAGTTATTAATTAAAAAAAATTAGTAATTAATGTTTGGTTTGGTTTATGGCATATCAACCTAAATGGGTTATTTAATGCCGACAACTTATTTTTCTGGTAATATTTTGTTTTGTCAAAAATCTATTTCTGGTAACATTTTTTTTCCTCAAAAATGTATAGCTAGTAATATTATTTTAACAAACATATTGCTGGTAATATTTTTTCTTTTTCAAAAATATATTGCTGGTAATAGTTTTTTTTCCTTGAAAGATTTATTTCTGGTAATAATTTTTTACAAAATATTTCTGGTATTAAAACCTATTTTTACACTTTCATAAGGCTTTTTACCTCAGTTTGGGGGTTAACTATTTGCCCATAGCTGGGACCTTAACAGGTGCTACCACCTCAAGTCAGGGTGGACCTGGGAACACCAGCAATTAAGAGGTGGTTCCACCCTCCTCAAAACCTCTTGATCAGAGAGGTCTTGCTGTTGGATGTAGTTTATCATCTTACCCTGGATGCGAATGTAGTTTATCATCATAACCAGGATGGAGTAATTAATGTATAATATTATCGATAACTACATGTACAAGAATGTTGTTTTTGATAAAAGTTAAAAAATAACCATAAATACATAAAAAATGTGTATATTTTCGAAAATTCCTTTTCCTATAATATAGCTATTTGTGCTATGTTATAATGCTTATTACCTAAATAATAATAATAATGAATAATTTTTTAAACCTTAAAATAAATTTAATCACATTGATCTATCCACTACCCTTCTCCTCATCCTTTCTTCTATCACTCCTATCTGATCTTGCTCCAAATTTTCTGTAACCCCTTGTGTCCTAGTGGCTTCCCGCCTTGCTTGGGGTGAAATGCTTTAAAAAAGAAAAGAAATCTCCCTAATAGCTGTCACAATCTGTAAACTAACTTTAAACCACAAAACAATACCTACCTCTGTTTCAACTGGCAAATCTTTCATCAAAGAAGAAAACCCCTAACCAGTTATTTCAAGAATCAATTCATTCACAAATGTGCCACATTTACCCAGCTATTTCTTTTTCTTTTAATCATTTCACCCTTAGTAAGGCAAGAAAGCCACTAAGATGCAAATGAGAACATGTTAGTGAGGATAAAAGACAATAAAAGAACAGTATTAAAAAAGATAGAAGATGGCGATTAACATTGCATAGTCCAGAACAGACAGCCTTTCCCGTTGTATCTTGCACTGACATCCTGACACTTGATATAATGCCTTTCTAAACAATAACCTGGTCTGAGAGAGGCTAGTTTTTAGCTACAAAGAGTGAATATCAACATTTGCAGTAGAAGAACTTGTTTCAACAGAAACAGCAACCCTCACTGTCATCTGAAGGCACATTTTCTTGGAATTTTCCTTTCATCTCAGTTTTGTAGCCTAATATAAACATTTCCTCCTTTCTTTAAAAATTGCATAGAAGAAAAAATATCAATAAATTTAATAAATATAAAATATCTATTCTGTGTACATGTGTGTGAGATCGTGTTTGTGTAACAATCCTATTATTTCTTGTGCAAAAAGTGGCCCCATAGACATGGAAATTTAAATTGTGAAATCATTTCACCCCAAGCAAAGCTGTAATGCCACTAGTACACAGGGTTAATGAAAGTGAAAGAAAAGACAGAGTATAGGGAGGATTGAGGAAAGGACAAAAGATGACCGGGATTCAAGAAGATAGAAGACTACACTGGATTTAAATTTTTGAAAATTGTAGTGATCAGGGAAGCAAGTAAGAGGAAGGGAGTTCCACTGTCAAGAAGTGCAAGAAAAGAAACTGCTGGATTAGAAGTGGTTGTTGCATTTAATTATTTCAACAGTAAAAAAGTGGGACCTAGATGCCAATCGAGTAGCATGTTTAAATTCATGTAGTCGAGACACCACAAAAAAAAATCTCATTAGAGCAGTTGCCATGAAAATATTTGTAGAAAAGAAAGAGAGAAGGCAGGCTGTGTCGGTAAGAAAGGGACTGAAATTGAGATGCCAAGTCAGGATTGCGGATCCTTCTTTTGATTTTGTCAAGAACCTTGAGATGAACAGCAGGGGTACCAGACCAGATATGGCTACAAATTTCAATGCATGATTGAATGGAAGATTTGCAAATGTGCAATTTTTTGGCATGACACAGTGACTCATATTTCCTTGCAGCAGATGCGGCTATTGATTTGATGTAGTTGCTCCACTTAAAGTTAGTGGAAAACATGAACCCAAGAAGGTGAAGTGTGTTGTTCTCCAGGTTTGGTTTGGTTTAGTTCAGTTTATTTTATGACATATCAACCTCAATAGGTTATTTAAAGCTGACTAAATTTTTATTGCTGGTAATTTTTTTTTTCCAAAAGTGTATTACTGTTAATAATTTTTTACAAAGTATTTCTGGTATTAAAAACTATTTTTACACTTTCATAGTGTTTTGACCTCAGTTTGGGGGGTAACTATTTACCCATAGCTGGGACCCTAACATCTGCTACCACCCCGGATCAGGGTGGATCTGGAAACACCAGCAATTAAGAGGTGGTTCCACGCTCCTTAAAACCTCCTGATCAGAGGCCTTGCTGTTGGATGTAGTTTATGGTCTTCCCCAGGACGGGTTGCTTTCCAGGAGTTTATCATCAGCTGTGCTGATGGCAAACAGAAAAATTCCTGGGCGGGGGGTAAATGAGAGCAGAATATATGCTGATAGATGTCCAAGTGTGTTATCTTCAGACAGCATTTAGAAAGATGGAAACAGGAGATTTTGCGACACACAATGGGAACCCTGTGACCTCAAATTAGTCTAAACAGTGCTTTGTTTTTAATACTACTATTCACCCCAAGAGCCATTCAAGGTAGACTGTTACTGAATGGTAAGGGTGTAACAGGAAGAAGTGAATATTATGATATGTAGAATAGGTAACAATTCATTCTAAACTTGAAGAGATTGTTTGGTGAAGCATCACAAAGGAGTGGATCTTGGAAAAAGCTATCCAAATGGAGAACTCTTTGCCAATAGAATAGAAAGGGAATGAGAATGGTTATATTCTCTGTACATGGCATGGTATGTTTTCACTGTAAACATTGGAACTAGCAGAATTAAGGAATGTAGCTCATAAGAACATTTTCCATGGAAATATCAAGAGAGTAACAGGAGGTTTGTAACATTGCATCTCTGGCAAAGGAGTTATAAAGTGAAAAATAATTCATCCCCTACAAGACCATGTAAACACTTTTGAATTCCACAATACTCTATTTTTGGTTTGACTCTTATAAAGATAGAGAATGGCAGGAGGAGTCTGATACTTTCTGGAGCAGTACAAGGAACTGGCCATTTTGCCAGCATCTTTAGTGATAGATCATATATAAGTGTTCCACTTGAGCTATGAAGTAAGCTCAAGTCCAAATAGCTGTTCGAGGCAAGAAGCATCACTAGAATTGTTTTCAAGATTTTCTCTCATTCCATTGCAGTAATAGTATAGCCTTTTCATAGGCTAATGGCCATATCACATTGAACCATTGGTTCCTGTACAATCACCAAAGTTAAGCAATAATGAGCCTGGTCAGTATTTAGATAAGTGACTGCTTGGGAATACCAGGTGCTGGAAGCTTGGATGTGCAGTTCGCATAATAAATAATAGTTTGAAATTGTTAATTGGAAAGGTATGAATCCACCTCTTCTCCCCTCAGGTAAAGGGTTAATTAGTAAAACTTATATCAATAAATCATTATTATGTAAAAAAAAAAAAAATAAAAATAAATTTTGGTTTTAAATAACTTGCAAATGTTTGATAGGCTGCAGAAAATCAATCATCTTCATATCATATGTGGTGTAACTCCACTCACCTTAACAAAGAATACAATTGCTCATCATGAATGGAGAGAAATTGGGGTCTGCTCGGTCATGATGCACTGTTACTAGCTTGGGATTGAATGTTATAAATCCATTCTTCCCCTGTTGATCTGTGAGAGCTAGGTCAGAGGATAAATAAACTGCCAGGCTCTGGTCATCTAGACTTTGGGAGGTGCATTTATAAACCATAGTATCATTTGCATATATATTTACTGCTGACCTGAGAATGTTCTTAGGCATATCATTAATATAAAGCAGAAGGTCGAATGGAAAACAAAATACCATTTCCAACCAAAATATTGGAAGTTGTGATTAAATCATTTGCTGTGTCCTTTGCATGACCACGGGTCAGAGAGAGGAAAACCTCTCCATGAACCCAGCTGACAAGTAGTTGGCAAAATTTCACTACTGGGGATAATAAAAGTAGCCAATACAAACCATTGATTCTGGAGTTCTTTAGCACAATTCTGCAGCCATGATCATTGGCTTCACATTCTTTTTTTTCTAACCACCAGAGCTGAGGTCTTAATAAGCAAGAAGTCTAGATCTGCCTTAGCTATTGGTACTTTGCTAACATCTCTTGATTCAACAGCCTTGATTATTCTATAAAGTGCTTTTGTGATTCTAATCTGTTGTAACCTAGGGAAAGTTACTGAATAGAGTAATCACATGAAGTTTGGTAATGAATGATAATACTTAGGACAAGAACAACACATATAAGATTTGCAAGTAGTAGTCAACTGCTAGAAGTGAGTCAAGTGAATTCCATGATGAATCTCCAACTGCAGGATATCTACCAACCTCCCCACGCAGTCAGATGTGGCACAAGGCTGAATTTAATGCAGTGTATACGAGCCTGTAGGCTCAGCCAAAAATTCCCTATAGACCCCGTATAAAATGGGGTCAGATAGCTGTTTCCCGAGACGAGACTCTGCCCATCAACATAGCCTTATCTGGGGATCCTCTCTGGCCAGAGGCAGAGAGCTTGACCAGCACAGCTGGAGATGAATCTCCAACTGCAGCCTAATATACAATATTTACTACTGTATTTATGTGAATGAGGGACATACCCATTATTGTCTGTAGGTATGCTACAATATAATTAAAGTTGAGTCAATGACAGATTAGCAGCTAAATACCTAATGCTACCTTTTGGTTGTATCCCACTACATATTCCTATCCGCAGTCCCAGTTAACAATTCTTTCAGAGTTAATATCAGTTTGTCCTTACAATCAGGAATCAGCACATATGCTAGGCCACAAAAATCTCCTGAGCCGACCAAGCATAGAAATAAATACAATATGGAAACCAGTAATAAGGAGTGCCAGAGAAAAGTGATAATAACAACAAAGTTGCAATATGAGCTCTGGGAAAAATGGTTGCTGATGACATTAGGTTTATAATACCCAGAAATTCATACCCAGATGTCCTCAAGAACACATGGCACAGTGGATAAAGGCATTGGTTAGATCCAGTGACAGGACCCAAAGAGTGTGAATTCAATATCTGGTTAAGGCAGTGGAGAACTTTCAGAGGGGAATTAACAAGAGATAACTGATAACTGACATCCATCAAACATGGCACGTGGAACTAGAACAGTCTACCCCAGCAAGCAAAATAAAGGGTTCAGTTGACATTCCAACCACCTGAAGAAGGCTGGGCGAAATTGGCAAAAAACGTTGTGATAAATATGGCGACAAAGATGAGGACAATAGTTCGAATAATGTAAATAATGTACATAGTACCTCATCTCAGAAATATAGACAGAATCAGTTTGTCCTATAAATCTTTCCAATCTAACAAGGATGTGTTGAATTTCCAGTAACCAGTCATTAAGCCTATCTAAGTTGTTTTGAACCCAGACAAATCCATAGTTTGAATAAAATATATTATAGAAACTTGGGCAACTTAAGAGCTTTAAGAGTCTCCTTAAAAAAAAAAAAAAAAGAAGATTGTCAATGCAAAGACACCAGAGTTCAGGTTGAGGTTTATTTCAGAACTTATTTACAAAAACAAGTTTGGAGTTAAATTCATGAAAGATTTTTACATCAAAAGGAATGTTTGTATTTTTTCTGACATACTCTCAATCTAATCAGGCTCAAGGACATAATTCTAATAAAAACTATCCATGGCTATCTTAATGATATCGGAAATAAATTTATATGCAAAAAGAAAAAAAAGCTCCTCACTGTTTAGGAGACAAAATACTTTCTTCAAAGTTAGGATACTTGTGTCTGTTGCATAATTAAAAGAAAACTTGTAGTTCCAACGAATGATTTATTTCATGGAAATATATGCATTTTGTCACTTAAAACAATGAAAAGTAATTTTTAAAAAACATTTTGAAAATAAACTTACCTTTTTGAACATAAGGGAACAGCAAGCAATACGAATTTTCATGCCCATCCGATAAACATTGAAGAAGAAGGTATGATTTAACAAACCATTTAAGAAAACACACATAATAACACCAGCACCATACAAATATGCTTCAGTTGTAGTTATCACAGTGTTTGGAGTAAAATATGATACTAGTCGACCTAACAGCAGAGGTTGGATCACTTTGGTTGTTTCCTGGGTAAAAGAAAGAAATTAAAGTCTTTTTTTATTTTAGTTTTATAGAAAAAACAAAAATTAGACATAAAATTTAGATATAAAATCAAATCAAAAGAAGAATCAGCAATATTATTGTTCCTGACCTGGCATCTCAGCTTCAGTTACTTTCCCAGTGCAGTCAAGTTGCTTCTCTATAAATAGTTTCATGATAGTTGTTTGGATGAACTCTTCACTATGGTACGTAAATTTTATGAATTTAAGCACAGTACAAGTTCATCTCATACCAAGGCCTGACCAGAACTGACAGTATAGACCAGCACACGGATATACCCTATTTCTGGTATTGTTGTCACTTGATCTTCAGAAATCCTTCATCCATACCTCTACTTCCTCATTCATATTTAATACTTTAATGGTAATTGTTCTAATAATCTTTCCTCTATGGTACCTAGAATTTAAGCACAATACTAGATTGGCAGCTAGGTCTCATCATTTTACAGTTGAAACGGCTGGGTGTAATGATATGCTCTATGCAAATAGTTTCTTCTATCACACTTCTCTCTTGTGTAAATCTCTTCTGGCTTTGTACTTTCCAGCCAACTTTGATCTCCAAAGATTTAAATGTAATGTCAGTTGTTATCTACTGTCTTCCTGATTACTCTTCTATTGTTTGCAATCCTTAATAAATGTTTGTTTTATAATTCTTTAACACTCAGTAACCTCTTGTGTCTTAGTTGATTTATTACCTTGCATGGAGTGAATTTGTTTATCAAAAAGACAAAAAAAAACCCCCAAAAATAATACTATCACTTGGGTGCGGAGAAGAGTCACTAATTTGTAAAGTCCCTCCTTTGCAAAAACGTCTTCCCACTTTACCAAGACAAATCTGTTTTCATCCTTTCTAATCAGATGGTTGGGAGCCTGGTTTTGCAGAGATGTGGCCCTATCTGTAGTCCATGATAAACTAACATCTTGACCCTTTTTTTCTTTTATCTTTTCATCCCAAGTAAGGCAATAATTCACACTACTGAATGTGAGAGAATATAAGAGGGAACAATGAAAGAACAGGAATTAAGAGGATATAAGATAACGATTGACATTGCATTTAAATTTTTGAAGATCAAAGGCAATAAAGCCACTAGGATGCAAGAGGTTACTGAGTGTTAGAGAATATGAAAAGAGCTACTATTAAAGAGAGAGGACAATAAAAGAATAAGAATTAAGGAGATAGAAGATAATGATTGGCATTACATTTAAAGTTATGAATATCAAAGCTACTATGTTTAAAATTGTGTGGTGAATTTTTAATTTTCAGTTCATTATTTTAATTAGTACCCATACATTTGTTAGTTTCTCTCACCTTAAATTTTAATTTATTTACCAAACACACACACACACACACACACACGCGCGCTTTAAGCCATATGATTCAGCTCACCTTCTGGAATTTGAAGAATTGCCTAAAAATTGAGGGTCATGTGCTTTTTTTTTTTCAAAACTAATTTATCAATTCAGACCAAAGGAACTTTCTCTTACTGAAGGTTTTTCTTTTAATCATTTCATCCCAAGCAAGGCAATAATGCCACTAAGATGCAAGGGGTTACCGAGTACGAGAGAATACAGCAGAAATGTACTATTAAGGAGAAGAGAACAAGAATTAAGAAGATATTTTTTTTTAATTTTTACATCGAGCTATTTAAACTGTAAAATGATAAGACCTTGCTGCCAATCTGCATTTATATTCATAAACTCTAGGTATCAGAGGGGAAAGTTCATCAGAACATTTACCATGAAATTATTTATAGAAAAAGCACAAGGAAGCTACATGATTAGGTACTCTTGGGGAATGCAATAATATTCTGAAAAACCTTCTTATGGAGTTGTTTATGAAAAAAATATTTTAATTTGATTCTGAAATATTAAAGATGGTTTGGCTATGGATTCGCTGTTATTTCTAGTAATGGTAAATAAGAGATATGAAGCAACAGAAATGTAGTTCTGTCACGTCACTCATCATATCTGCAGAAATAGTCTTGTGTTCACATAGGTAAAAAAAGACATACACAGAAATAACACTAAAAGCATGTTAAATTGAACATGAAAATTATACAATTTAATTATTTTTGCGTACTGGTGTGTATGCGGGCATTTTTGGTTACAAGTTTTTTTAAGGTTGTATGTGATAAAAGAAGTCATTTTGTATTATCACAAGGAATGTCATGGAGAGAGGAGATGGATATTTCAATTTTCTAATGGCCATTAGTGAAGAGAATGAATTCAGCATCTTTTGGTGCAAAGTCCATTTTCCGACAGGAAATGTTTCTGATGCATTCTGGGATAACTTATGTTTTTGGTTTATAAATTAAATAAACCAAAAAATTAAAAAAAATAAGAATAAACAAAAAGCACTTCCAGAATGCAATTTAATATTTTAAACAACATTTTAATGTTGTTTTATTTTATTTATGATATTCATTATTATTTTATATTTATTATTAATAATAATAATAATAATAATAATAATGTCTCTACAGTTCTACAGGAAAATGCTGAGACTACTATGGACTGGACTATGTGAGCAACGACAAAGTTTTAAAGAAAATAGGTGCACAAATGACATGAATTTTCTATGGCATATAATGATGAAAGAGGGCTTGGTAAATTTAATGCTCACAGGACATATTGAAGGCAAAAGGGACAGAGAAATGTAGGACATAACCTATTTAAGCTTTTGTTTTGCAGAACAAGGTTTTGGGGAGATAACTAAAGAACAAAACTTATTAAGAGTTACAAAGGATTGGAAGTTGTGGGGAGCCATGATCACACAATTGAAAGGGCACATAATGAAAAAAGAAGGCTGAGAACATTTAACATTCACGCAACATATTGAAGCGGGTAGAGGAAAGTAATGCATGACCTACTTAACAAGCTTGTGTAAATGGTTGGCAGAACAGGGTTTAGGAGAGATAGCAAAAAGACAAAGCTTATTAAGAGCTACAAAGGACAGGAAATTGAGGAGAGCTGTGACTGCCTACAACCTGAATGGATATGGCATATATAAGATGGTATATGTCAAGAAAATGGCTTTAAAAATAATGTCATGAAAACTAACTACCATATATACTTGTGTATAAGTTTACTTCATACACAGTGCACCTCTGAATGATTTTGTGAAAAATGTAATTTTTTTTCATATAGGTTGTGTATAATGCATAATAGTTGGCTTTCTGTAGTCAAATAATGAAGTACTGGGCACTGTCCTGGACATATTTTACAGCAAATAAATGGTCTTCATCCTTAACCCAGCATTAGTCACTTCAGATTTCTGAAAATGGAAGGTGCTCTGACATTTACCTCCCACAACAACAGAGCTACAAGTGCGCCACACAGTGTGCTACACACCCTCACTGACTCAGAAGAGTATTGGGAGGGGAAAAATAAACAAGGTGCCAACTAAGAATTACGAGTACTTTAAAAATGTAGTGGTAACAAAACACACCCCTGTGACTAACTCAGGGTTAATTGTTAATTCTTCATTTATATAAGGTATTTGTAGATTTTAAGTGGCACACATAGTAAATGATGTTCTGCTGTTCATGTAGCAGCAGAAAGAAAGAATCTAGGCTACAGGGAGCAGGCTAAAGGAGCTTACCTGTGCCGTTAAGGTAAGCCAAAAGGTACCATGAGAATGTAGGCCAACAGGTAGGTCATGTATCCATCTCTATTTCTGTATTGTAATTATTTACATTATTTACATTGTTCGGACTGATGCCCTCACCTTTATTGCCATATTCACCTTCAAAATCTGTCTCTATTTCTGAGATGAGGTATTGTAATTATTTACACTAATTACATTGTTTGGACTGTTGTCAACGTTTCGGCCGTTGTATGCACCGGCCTTCTTCATGTGATCAGGATTTCGAACTGAACCCTTTATTTTGTCCACTGGAGTAGACTATTTGAATGCCTCTTCTGCATGTCTCAGCATCATTTATCACCCTTTAACTCAACTCTCCAACTTTTTTTCACCTCTGCTGTAACCAGGTATTGAACTCACAACTCTGTGTCAAGTCACTGGATTCAGCCAACGTTTTCATCTGCTGGGCCATGTGTATGAATTTTTGGGACTTATAAACCTATTTTTTTTTTTTTTTTACCAGAGTTCATATTGCAATTTTGTTATTATTATTTTTTCTGTAGCACTCCATATTAATGGTTCCCATATTGCATTCATTTCTATATTTGATTGGCTTCGATTTTTGTGGCCTAGCATATGTGCTGAGTAATGGTCACTGAAAATAGATAAATTTTAACCCTCTCCTGAAAAAAATTTGCTTGGATATACAATGGCCTCCTATTTTTTGCATAAAAAACCTGATTATAAAAACTCTCACTATACTCGAGTATATATGATATGTGGCTGAGGAATTCTCGTATTAAGAAAGATGTGTAAATACTCTGCTGGGCCATGTGAATTCAATAAGACTTTCACAATGGAACACAAGTTGGAAGGTAACCTGGAATGATAATAACTCACATTAAGTATGGGCTTAAGAAATTTGTATATTGTAATCCAAGATTTACTGAACAAGACCTAAACTTCAATTCTCACCATCCATACATCAAGAAAGGAATTGCTTGCTACCTACATCAGGCTAAACTCATAATTAGTGACACAGATGATTAGATTTAGGAAACACCTCAGCTTCTATAGTAGAGATGTAAAGGTTAAGGGTAATAGCCTGGCAACTGTCACAGCCTCTCCACCTTACCACAGAGGCATGTTGGGAAAACTTCAAGAGATATGCAGTCTGTACAATATCAGGACAACACTCGAAAGCAGTCCGATTCTTTGGAGATATCTCTTCTGAACCAAGTCTCCCTCAAAAGAGAACATCACCAAAAATCATGTATATTCAATTCTATACAATGGGTCGCAAAACACCAACCCCTAAAAATAGGGCTGAATAAACATCAGAAAGTTATAATCTGCGGAAAGACAATGAAATCAGGTGTGG